TGAATGGGGCCATGTATCGTGAGATTTTGAGTGACAACCTCCTTCCATCAGCAAGGGCATTGAAGATGAAACGTGGCTGGGTCTTTCAGCATGACAATGATCCCAAACACACCGCCCGGGCAACAAAGGAGTGGCTTCGTAAGAAGCATTTCAAGGTCCTGGAGTGGCCTAGCCAGTCTCCAGATCTCAACCCCATAGAAAATCTTTGGAGGGAGTTGAAAGTCTGTGTTGCCCAGCGACAGCCCCAAAACATCACTGCTCTAGAGGAGATCTGCATGGAGGAATGGGCCAAAATACCAGCAACAGTGTGTGAAAACCTTGTGAAGACTTACAGAAAACGTTTGACCTCTGTCATTGCCAACAAAGGGTATATAACAAAGTATTGAGATGAACTTTTGTTATTGACCAAATACTTATTTTCCACCATAATTTGCAATATAAATTCTTTAAAAATCAGACAATGTGATTTTCTGGATTTTTCTTTCTCATTTTGTCTCTCATTGTTGAGGTATACCTAGGATGAAAATTACAGGCCTCTCTCATCTTTTTAAGTGGGAGAACTTGCACAATTGGTGGCTGACTAAATACTTTTTTGCCCCACTGTATGTTGAATAAACCGACTATCCAACGGATCAGCTACACTCCTGCCAGAGAGGAAAATACCATTTCAACCCCCTTCTGACTCAGTAATGTGTGGAAAAGGATTCATTTTCCAGCAGGATATTGATCCTGAACATGCATGGAAGCCACTGTGCACCAGGCCCCTAAAGTCAGCAGACCTAAAATTGACTGACAAAGTAATGGGGAAAAGGTGAAAAAGACACTCATTTGGGACACGGTCAAAGGGTTGGTGGTGTAAAATGACAAAATAAATGTATTGTCTTGTTTCTCTTGTGTTATCTAACCATAAAGACAGTTGTATAGGCCGTTGCATGGGAGAGATTACACTTTGTATACTATAGCACTGTTTATATGAAGTATTTAAATGTTAGGTAGTAGTTTATAAGAAAGTTCCAGCACAAATCAGTAAGACGACATTGAAGGAGATTTATTCTTCAAAATATTTCCCTTTTTTTGTTGTGATATTTTGTGAGCTAAACCTAAATAGAGCTATTGTTAAGTGTTAAGGAATAATGTTAAAGCTTTGATGAAGGCCGACTGTAAGAGCCAAACATCAATAAATGTGAATATTTTTTTAAATATTAACATGCTTATAGTTTTTCATAACATGTCTTATAAGATAAGCCTGTATTGATTCCCGGGGCGGAAATTTTGAATTTTTATTACAAATAGATACTAAAATGACAATGCAGGCAGTATACAAAATGGTTCTCATGAGTACGATACCTTCTCAAGCCAAATCACATAGTGGTGTGAGAAGTTAAAGCACAGTGAAGTATACAATAAGATACCACTTGCTATAACAGCGTACAGCAGAATTGGCTATTATAATAAAGTGTGGGGTAAAACATCATATAATTATGATTTTCTGGCTGGTCTGAGTAAACGGAACAGTAAACAGTACCATGTTTCTGACAATGTGGTTTGTTGCCATGCGATGGCCCTAACACATCTGGTTGTCTTTCATCCTTCAGGCAAATTAAACCCAAAGTGGCTTTATGTCTTATTAGTGCTTTAAGCTTCTTGGTTTCTCATATTTGATTAAATAACTGGACACACTCATACACACACACACACGCACACACGCACATACACACACACACACACACACACACACACCAGTGGCTGTGCGACCAAGCGTGCGTCGCCCCGTGCCAAAGTAGCTTACTTCAGGCTTAGCTGTCAACCTCTCCCTCTCCTCCTCCATCATTACCGGCTCCATCATCAGCGATGCAGCGGAGAGGCTGCAGTCTATCTTGTTAGGGCAGATTAAGCACTAATGTACGGGCAGTAAAGAAGCCTCTTCATCTAAAGCTGTACACACACACACACACACACACACACACACACACACACACACACACACACACACACACACACACACACACACACACACACACACACACACTCCTGATTGTAGCCTGCAGGGCTCCTCTCCTGATTAATTACAGGCTCTGTGAATTACTGTGGGTGTTTTGGATAACACTTAACGAGCTGCCAAACCCCCCCCTGCTGAGCCACGGCCGGCCCGCTGCTCCCCCAGACACACTGAGCCGAGACTGAGAGACATGAAAGAGGGGGGGGTTGGATTTAGGTCTGTCAGTATGTCCACCATTCCAGCCAACACCCAGGAATCTTCAACTAATCAGAATGAATGAATCGCTAAAATGCTCATCACTCTGATACTGTTTATTGATTATTTCTTTGTGGGAGCTGGTTTAATCACAAATATTAACTTTAATTGAAGTCAAAGTATCATGGGGAGTTGGAAGGAACAGAGGGATTAATGTCACTTTAAGCAATAAGTAAGTACACAATGTTTCCATAAATATAAAAGCTTATTATGAAATATAGACTAGAAGTTAGAACTGTGGTAATGTAATCACCTCAAAAAGACTGATTAAACTCAAGTGTGCAGGGATGGGATGTGGAGTCCCCACCTCGCCATCCAAAAATGATGTTCCCATACAATGAACCTGCTTGTTATTACTTTGTAATTATATTTAGAAGGAAACAAATTATCTTCAGGATGAAGCACAAATACTTTCATCAAAGTCTGCAGATGGGTCAAACCAACACAGAGACTGGTGTTAAGCCACGTGTGAAACCAAAATTCAAAGCTGACTTATTTTTTGTATATAACAACATGTATACATAACATCACACATCCAAGCCCAACAGTTACCAATGCTAATAGTTGTGTTGCATTTTTGTTTTGTTTTTAATTTGCAACATTAACCAGCTTAGACCAATTTAGCTGGTAGATAGGTTGGTTGGTTTAGAGGGGTTTTGGACACGTTAGCTCTCCAGGATGGCTGGTTTAGCTGGTGCACCAGCTAAACCAGCCATCCTGGAGAGCTAAAAAAAACAGCATAGACCAGCATAGTATGCTGGAAAGCTGGGCTGGTCACCAGCATCCATCTATCACCAGTTTATGTTTAATAATAGTATTACATATACCATGCTGGAAGCTTACCAGGATTCCAGGTGACCCCTTGTGTCAATCGAACTCTTTTTTGGCGACACAGGAGCAGGCACAACGACAACAAAGAGTCTTTTTTCACCCGCATAATCTACAGCACAACTGCATCGAGAACAAGAAGGTGGGTGCGCCCCTTGGAAGGCCGGACGTATTGTAACGTAGACCGACAATGTTGACGGAAGGGCGAAAGTAAATATTATGATAGGTTTGTTGTTGTAAAAGGACAGGCTGATGTGTGCCAGTGGTTCCGACTTGCATCGGAGAACAACGGGAATGACGATGCATTTAATCTGTCGGACGCGGGACGGTTTAGGATAACGGTCTAACTCTTTTATTCCGTTGGTCCGGGATACTTTTGTTCGGGTTTTCTTCGGTGTGTACTGTACTACAACACATTAACATTTGGGTTTTGATTCCCCGGAGTCCTTACTGAAATTCGTACCGCTCGTACCAGTAAAACAAACATTGTAATTTATTTTTTATTTTTATAACTTTTTTTTTTTTTCTAAGGGCTAGGGCTAAGAAAAAGAGGGCTAGTAAAATTTAGTTGACTGAGCCGGGAGCGCGTTAGCCGCGCTTGTGCACTACGCCTGTAGAGATAAAAGATGCGAGTGAATGCACACTTTTATCCAACCGTATTAAAAACAAGAACTTGCGAGCACAATTTCTAGACCCGACATTAGACAAATTTTCAAACTTACTGGCATATTTGCCTGGGAACAGAATAACTTTTTCAGACCTGGAATTCTAACTAAACTCATGGGGACCAGATTTCGGTTCGGTTGACATGAAAACATTACCTACAATGGTATGAAATTGCGGTCAGCACTTCGGTGTCGTCCGGGTTTCAATTGCATTTCACAGCTCAAAGAAAATGTCACGTGATATGACATGTGTAATCAAGTCCAACGAAAGCTCTTGCACGAAGTTGTCTGTCTTTACTTTCAGACTGCGATGTGTTACCCTTCTGTAAACTGTACTTGTTCCTTTGTTTTTTTGTGAAGAAGTAAACCAACGGAAAAAGAAATAGTAGTGTATCACAATGACAAAAACAATGGTAAATGTATAAAACTTAAGATTTATAATGGAAAATAAAAGGTTTAGTACGTGGACAAATCTATTATATAGAGTAAACCTACATATCCACTAAACCGTCCACAACATAAACATATGTAATAACATAAACAAACGACACATAATAATATATTGATCGAAATAACGATAAATAATTTAGTTTTATGACATTACCTTGGTCGTATGTTACAGCAAGATAAACCGATCTTATGGTTGTCTTATGTACTGTGTTAATTAGCAAACATTATTAAATGACAAGAGACAATTTATCTAGTAGTGGTCATAAATTTGG